AGTCAAGTTTCAGTTTACGTCAATGTCATCACTTCATCATTTTACCCTATTAGAGATTTGTGTGAAATTGTCATAATTAGCATATGTTCATCCATGAGGTCAAGTGGACGGCTGTGCCAAGATTTGAAGACATTCTCTCCAGACGTTCCTGAGATATCACAAGGATGGGCCGGACAACCCGAAAACATAATGCAATGCAAACAACAGGGCATCTTACATTTCAAAACACATATAAGACTCATAAAACATTAAAAGATGAAATTATTTATATTTTTGGAATGTGCTTTTAGGTGCAGGCAACCTGATTTTTCAACGTCCTGTTATCTGACCCACTTAGTATTAATTAACACACAGCTTCATCACATGAACACCTTGTCTAAATCATCAAGTGATAATCAAAAGAAAGTATTACAGAGTATGCATCAAGTGTCAAAAATGTCAAATATACTAATATATATATTTTTTCCATGGCTACAGTTGATGTATCATCTGCATATGTTGTGTGATTCATTTTCCATTGTCTGATGCAGTTATTAATGGTAAAGGACTGCTCACATCTGCCCTAATGGTTGCACTCTGTTAGGGTATTGAGGAGTTTGGGAGTTATTTATACTTGAAGGGCAAGTTGAAGGGCTCAACGGATTAAAACTGCTTTTACACAAAGTAATCCTGCAACTTACAAAAATAAAAACACTGACGGATTTTTGTAACTCTAGCAAGTTTGAAACCGCTGCCGTTGTTTCCACATTCAAAAGATAGCTAGATGATCAGCAGTAATGTGGGTTTTAGTAAATGTGACAACATTTTAGAATTGCATGGTAAAAAGTTGCCAGTTACATATTCTTGGTGAAAACAATGATTTATCAAGTCAATCCAGCTTTGTTTTGCGCATCTGTGCTATTTTTAATTAATATATATATATATGAATATAAATGAATATAAAAGCTTCACTGCTTTGACGAGCAATAAAAACGAAGGGTTATTTATATTGTCAAAAAACATGCAGCATTTGAACATTCTTATCCATAGTTGAGATATCTTGAACTCATCATTCACTTTTGACAAATAATGTTTAAGAATACCAGCACATAAAGTGTTTTTTTTTTTGCTTCCTGCTAAAAATTTCAAGGGGGTCCCAGGTTGAAGGGAGGCCTTCAGAGAGGTATGGTTCTATTGCCAGGGGCCCAAGTTCACCCCTAGAGGAGCCAACGTGTGCCTTAAGATGCAGTTCCTCTAATGTCCACTAGACGCTGCATCCTGCAACACTGACTGCATGGAGGTGGCTGAGAAATCTCCCCAACTTCTCATTGGAAACACAGTCAAGGTAATCCCACATCTTCTTGTAGGTCTTTATCATAGATGACATTTTGACATCATGTCACAGTTGGGAAAGCAAACTGAATTATATAAATGAAAGACGTCTTTGAAATCGTTATGTTAAAAGACACATGCACACTCTTTGTAAACACAGATTTCAATCATTTGTCTGATAAGTCGCTTAGGTCTGTGTGGGTATGTCCTTGACTCTCCTGTTAGCTTTGTTGCACCGTTGAGGTGGGACAACTATCACCAGCATTACTCTTACAGGTAGATGGATGCAACTCCCATCATTAATCTCCCACTTTTCACTTGTGCAGAAGCTTAATCCACAGAAAAACTGAAAATACATGTGTTGGTGTATGCAGGGCCCTTTAAGCTTGAAGATAAAGGTTTTCGGGGATTTTGGCTCGATCGACAGCTATTTCAGTCATTCAAAGTCAGCCATGGTTGCTGCTGGCTTGTCCCACTTCAGCCCAATATGGTCCCTCCTCTTTGTCCAGATTTGGATTTTAACTCTGATTTTATGCTTCATCTACATCTCATTACTAACTGCTGCTATGCATACTGTGTTCAAAATGTGGTTATTTACACCTATTGCTCATTTCTGCTTCATATTGCTTTGCATGGAAAAATACACTAAGTAGTGGATGTTATTGCTACATTATTGTATCTACGTTTTATACCTTCTGTTTTGAGAAAGCTGATTTTGTTGGGGTTCTTGCAACTTCGGCGTATTTCTGAACCCGTCACTTCATTGGGTTAAGAACATTGTGCCAAAGGACTGCAGTTAAAAATCAGCCTGCTGGCTAACACAGCCACTTATGGAAATGCTAATTAATGTGCATTGTCATTATGAATCAATAAACTAAACGTATGACCATCCTTTTTGAGTTGCACTTCCTTGTCAAGTCTAGCCAACTTTACAGATGTATACCTTTCTGTTGTGTTTCATATTCATTTTTAGAAATGGCTAAATCATAATTGTATTTTTTACGAATAGGGAACAGTGTTCATTTCCAATTAGAGTTAATCATTATAAGTGTTTAACATTTGACTTTCAAAACAATACATTTTTTGCCTCATGCTTATTTTATGACAGATTAGCAAATTATGATTTTACTACCAGAGAAAAAATATTTTTTAACCTTAATTCACAGGATTTTGTTGATGTTTAATAAGCAATTTTGCATAATGGTGGATCCACAAGAAGAGCAGTAAAATGTAGATTAAGTTAACTGAAACTAAAATGCTGAGAAACCCTGTGACCTCTGCACGATTGCCATTCACACTCAAACTTTAGATTCAAATCTATGGATCCAAAATGTTCTTAACATGTGTGTATGTAAGGATCCATTCAGAGTGTGCTGTTGTTCATGAGTGCAAGTCCACATTTCAACTGAAGAGCATAAGAAACATGCATCAGCCTCTAAAGACGAGCATTAAAGTTACTTCAAGTCATAAACATTAAAGAGTTCATGTCCAGGGATACGTGTAGCAGATGTTTTGGGGAAAGACCCTCTGTCTAAAAAGTCATGTATAAATCTGCACTCACTTTTTTTTTAAGAAAATTGCAATGTTGAAAAGTGAATATTAGTTGGCTTGAGGAACTCAATTATCTGTTCATTTTGACCCAATACAGTGAAAATGCTTATATTTGCTTTGCTCCAATACTTCAGTGATATGCAAACACATGAGTCTTTCATCAAACAATGTGACCAATAAAAGCTGATATGACATTTTTTTTAGCAGAATAGCGATATTTGGTCTATTATGCTCCACAATATACCTTAAGTATAGGTTAGGAGTAACTCATTTATACAATTCAGAAGTGTCTGCAATGTACAAATATCTTACGGTAAACTCTTTATAGAAAGATGCATCAGCTGCGCAACATGTATGCAAATGACCTAATTATATGAAAAGTAAATTCCCAAAGCTCTTAGGAGATTGCAAACACCAGTGTCTTAATTGACTGCGATATATTTTTTTCATTAAAATATAAAAGAAAATATTGTGTTCACTAATGAAGCGATGGGTTCATTTAACTAAATTAAATGTATTAATTGTTCTTATCTTGTGAGTAGTAAAACATGATTCTCTTAAAGATAATATTTTACATAAACAGTTTCACAAATGACTAAGTGTATTCAAATTATGCAGAAGTTGATGTTGAAATTCAAGCTGTAATTGGTTCTTATCCTGAAGCCAACAACATTCAGTGTCATATTCTGTGTTGTCATAAAGGGCAGACAGACTTTGATCTGAATTGAATCCCATTATATTGCTCACCATGTTGTAGAAATAAGACAAAGTGTGAGGTTAGCAATGTGGCTCTTTAGCTTCCAGATCCTCTTTAACTATTTATATTATCTATGAATTCCCTTCTACACTAAGCTTTCCTCTAAATGCTCCAGTTCTCAGCAGAGACAAGTCAGGACACTAGGTAAACTCATAGACTGTATATGGTAAACCAGCCCACTCAGTCAACACCTCATATCAATGAGAGCAATTAATATTAAAACCTGCAGGAGGCGCCAGAGGACGCACAGAGGATGATCTGACGCCTTTAGTCATTTCACATCGAGAACTGTAGGAGTCCATGCATGGGTGTTGTGTCTTTACACATCGAGTCTCCGGTATAGGGTTAATATGATGCATACATGTGGCAGCTTTTTTCCTGTAAATACACAGACTACAATGCATAATAACGGTTTTGACTGGGAGGAAATGACTTCAAACCGATTAGAGATTCTGTTAAAAACATAAAATATTAAGTATACGCTTTTAAATCCGAGTAATTCGTTTAATTGTAACATCAGAGGATATGATGGAAATAAACAAAGAAAATGTGAATAATGACCTGTAACGAAATGTAATTTTAAATAATAATGACTATCCATTGTTAAATGATAATAAAAAAAAAAGATTATACGTGTTTTTAAGTAGCCAGCTAACATACAAATAAGATACATCTACATGCATAATATATATATAAGCGTGTGCTGTTATCGGTACTAATGCAACCGTTATCACCCCATCAAAATGTGCCTTTGACGAACTGTGTGAAAAAACAAGAGAAAAAATATGAAATGTACTAAAAAAACATATCTTAGGAAAAACATAATGCTCTTAATCTCCCATCACACACTTGCACTTTAATCATAATGCACTTCACATTCGGATTAAAGTCGCAGGAATTGTAAAAGCAAAAAAGAGAAAAGAATTAAGATTGAATAAAGAAAAAGAACAACGATTGCAGAGGTGGAGGGTGAAAAGAGAGGAGGGAAACAATAGAGAATCAAAGCATAATAATATTCCTAAATGAAGAGGGAAATGTTGCACCGCTCATTTTATTAATCAGACTGTCAATTTCACCCAAGAGGCCAAACCCCAGAGCAATCTAAAACAGACTCAGAGATCAACCCAGGGACAAGCACCTCGCTCCTCACTCCTCTCTTCCTCTCCACTTGGATATTATTCGTCTGACCGAAGGCCGCCTCCATCATCAAGTGACAGCCCTCTCCTATTTATTTGCTTATAAACCTGTTACAATAAATGATCATTGGAGCAACGTCAGCCGAGCATTTTAACAACGAACAGCAACCACTTTTGATGAATGACATTTCGCTGCTGTGAGGAGGATGCACGGCTCGTTTTGAGCAGTCGCTCGTCGATTGCATTCAGATTCTTTCATTTTCTGCGTCTTGCTTATAAAAAGGTTTAGAGACAGTTATTTAGAGACAGTTGCTGAGTTGCATGCGGATTTAAGCTCCGACACAACTCATTGGTGCTCCAGCCCCCCTGGACAAGTATTGTGTGCGTGTCTGTGTGTGTGTGTGTGTGTGTTTTTTTTTTTTTTTTCTTCGTCTTGCACGGCTTAATGATGGAGAGGATAAGAAAAGAGATGATATTGATGGAGAGAGGTCTGCACAGTCCTGTCGCAGGCAAGAGGCTCGCAGACACGCCTGGAAATTCAGTGCTGGAGGCCCTGGAAAACTCTCAGCACAGCGGACGGCTAAGCCCCAGAATAACTTCGGCTTCTCTCCATGGGAATCTTGGGGACATCCCGACGAAAGGCAAATTTGAAATTGACAGTATTTTCGGTTCACACCACAACAGTGATAATACCTCGTCGGCGGAAATTTCTTCGTCAGAAAGCCGGAAGAAAATGAGCCTTTACTCCGAAGTTTCGCCAGATTCAGATATTAACAGTGATGTGGAGGTGGGATGCCCCTCGCATCGATCCCCGAGCCAGCACAAGGAAAACAACAAAGGTAGCCTAACATTTCATTTTTCTGCATATTTATCGTTTTTCAATATTTCTGCAGTTGCATTGTAATGTTAATATAGCGGGTTTTAGCCACTGTTATTATTGTCTTTCCATCCAAAAACCGAAATGAAGCTAAATTAAATGATTATAATTATTAAGTCTGTCATTTGTAGAATGTTCTGTTATTATTGGTAGTACTTTTATTACTATTATGATTATTTTTATACTCCAAAGGGTAAATGTATTGTAATATTAATTTTAAAAGAAATATTTTGCATTTGCCTATCGACACAAATTTGACATCAACCTTAAGATTCTTATAATAATTGCCATTACGTTGTCAAATACAGTAGGCCCACACACGTTTATTATTTCAGTATTATCGATATCAATATGCATAAGAAATTGCTTCTTTCCCATATTTATTTTAGGTTTTTCAGATTCTGGATCTTCCAACATAAACTCGAACTCCCTACAGAATATGAACGGTAATTCATCGGGAGGATTAAACAATTCAAATAGCGACCAAGTGAGAAGATATCGGACCGCTTTCACCAGAGAACAGATCGGAAGACTGGAAAAAGAGTTTTACAGGGAAAATTACGTTTCGAGACCGAGAAGATGTGAATTAGCCGCAGCGCTGAATCTGCCCGAGACTACGATTAAGGTACAGATTAATCTTCATTATTCTTGTGTATGCATGTGTTTGTGCACAGAAAGCAATGCTGTGGGTATGAAAATAATAATAATCATGATACTCTGCAGTAGAAAATGCAATGAATCATTATTTGTGCTCATGGAATGTTGCAGTGTAATATTTTGATTTTAACCTGTAAACAAAATAAAGCTTTTATTTACTAGTCACCCCATGGGTGCATCAATTCACCCGGTATGAGTCATTTATAACCTGCCCATTTCAAATAATAAAATCCCAAATAAAACCCAAAATATTTAAACTGTTATTATATTTTGCAGATTTGAACTGCTTCTGCGTGGTGAAATTGTTCATTTTCATGACTAGCATTTATAGGGACATTTAGTAGAGCCTGGGCACGCGCTGAAGCACACTCCTTAGGGGTCTAAATTTAGAGCTGTGAAATAACATGGCAGCTTCAATATGTGCCTTGTTTTGACTCTGTGTGCAGGTGTGGTTCCAGAACAGGCGGATGAAGGATAAAAGGCAGCGCTTGGCGATGTCCTGGCCCCATCCAGCAGACCCCAGCTTCTACACCTACATGATGACGCACGCGGCAGCTACAGGAAGTCTACCTTACCCTTTCCACTCGCACATGCCTCTACACTACTATCCGCACGTCGGTGTCACGGCAGCAGCCGCCGCCGCGGCCGCCGCCTCCAGTGCCGCCTCGTCACCTTTCGCCACTTCCATCCGCCCCCTCGATACCTTCCGGGCACTCTCCCATCCCTACTCGCGGCCAGAGCTTCTGTGCGGCTTCAGGCACCCGGGACTCTACCAGTCACCCGCAGGCCTGAATAGTCCGGCTGCGGCGGCCGCGGCAGCTGCGGCCGCGGCGGCTGCGGTCGGCGCCCAGTCAGCCACCGGGCCCTGTTCGTGTCTCAGCTGCCACAGCAGCCAGGCAGCGAGCGCGCTCGGCTCGAGGAGCGCCAGCGCTGACTTTACCTGCACAGCTTCGGGGCAAAGATCCGAGAGTGGATTTCTGCCGTATTCTGCCGCTGTGCTCAGCAAGACCTCTGTCCCGTCACCAGACCAACGAGAAGAAACCTCACTTAACAGATAACTCATCATGCAGCCTACACGACCGTTTCCTATTCTGCACTAGTCCTATTACGGGGATAGGCCTACTTTAAAAATCACACCTGTGTAAAGAATTCGATAAGCAACATTGTAAACACACACACACACACACACATTTAGATTCATTTCTACACGTCTGTTTCAAGTCCAGATGACTATTTATAACGAAAAACACATGAATAGTATCGCACCGAAAATTTTGCAACTCACAAACAACCTTTTATAAAAGATTGTGCTCTTGTGTTGTGACAGTAGAGCATTTTTTATGCTGGATTAATTTATACATATTTGGAAAAATAACAGACCATGCAGTGTGTTCATTCTGTCCCATGCCTCACTCAATGTGCCATTTTA